GGCTTCGCCGATATTCAAGTTTTTATGTCAAAAATTGAATTTGCAGGGGTAATTTAAAAAATTTATTACTCGAAAACGGTGAGAGATATTGCAACACAGTTTTCACTGATTTATTAAAGAAAGATCGAATTTTCTTATGGTATGCGTAACAGTCTAAAAAAGTGAGATTACAACACTTTTTCAAAGCTCTCAACTTTTAAACTTTTAAATATCCGTAACTCCATTTTTTCAAATGGCACCCCCTATTTTGTTCTTCCCCTTTGTTTTCCTTTTTCCCAGACGTTTAATTTGATACAAAATGTCAAAAGCTGCTTCAAACGGTTTCCGAGATATTCCATGTTTTAGTGATTTCTTGTGACAAATTGATAAAAAAATTAAGTCGCTTGATGTTATTCTTTTGTTTTTACTATGATAATGTTTAAACGTCAAATTTTCGCGGCTTGAACTTATACTTCTCGTCAATAATGGCTCGTTTGGGTTACACTAATGAAGATTTTTTGAATTTAATATTAATACACGGTAAATGGAATCGAATAGCTGCCAGGACTTGCCGTCTTTTTTCCGAAAGATACCCTGACAAGGCGCAACCCACAGAGGCTACAATTCGCAAATTACTACAAAATTGCAGGAATAACGGGACCTTTCAAACAAAAATACAAAAAAGGAAGCCTGTGGTAGACTTTGAAGAACAAGAAATAACTGTACTGGCGTATTTTGCTGCAAATCCAACCGCATCGCTTAATGATATCCAAAGAGAAATTGAAATATCAAACACGAGTGCACAAAGAATGGCGCCACTTCCGCAAATACCGGAAGGATCCATCAACTTTGTTATTTTAAATAGGGACCTCCTATTTGTGTTACATTTTCGGATTCTACGTCGAATTTGGAGTACAATGGTACCCCATAGCACAGATATACGTAGCGCATATCTGTACCCATAGTTAACCCTTTATTTTAAGTTCATAATGTCCAAACAGTCATATGAGAAGACAAAACCACACATTGCAGAATCATTCAAAATAAAATTCATGACATTTTTAATAAAGTTTTAATTTGCGGATGAACAAACTCAACAAGATATTCAGATAAAAGTAACGTAACGAATATCATCTACATTTGACGTTTTAAGATGTGTTCAAATATTCCCCCCTCTTGGTTTAAACATGTTTCTAGCCGTTTTATGACATTTCCATGAGTTGCGTTTTGGATCTGTTGAGGTGTTAATGAATTCAAAGCATCTCTAACTCGTCTCTCCATGTCAGCTTTGGTTGTTGGTGGAGTAGCATAAACCATACCTTTGATGGTTCCCCAAAGAAAAAAGTCTAGGGGAGTAAGATCGGGTGAACGCGCGGGCCATGAATAAGGGCCTAAATAGCCGATCCAGTTACCATTAAACGTTCGCTCCAGATAATCCGAAATTACCCTGGAATTATGAGCTGGCGCTCCATCTTGTTGGTAAAATGCACTCGCCAATTCTTGTAATGGAGTATTTTCCAGCGCGGGTCCTAAGACGTTTTGCAGAATATCCAAATACCTTTCCGCATTCAAATTTTCATTGTAAAATGAATAACACAATATTCTATTTCCTTTTATGGCACAAAAAACATTAAATGACCATGTTATTTGATGGTGCACTTCACGTGTTACTTCCGGGTTTCTATCACACCAAAAATGTGAATTATGGCGATTGTACATACCATTTTTACTGAATTTTGCCTCGTCAGACCAAATCACATCACTTAAAAATCCAATTTGTTCTTGAATTTTTACTAACATCCACTCACAAAATTGAATTCTGCGTACATGATCGCCATCGTAAAGGCAATGCACTTTTTAAACAAATATGGGTGCCATTTATGCTTTTTGAGAATTCTTTGTGCACTCGTGTCTGATATGTCAATTTCTCGTTGGATATCATTGAGCGATGCAGTTGGATCTGCAGCAAAATACGCCAGTACAGTTATTTCTTGTTCTTCAGAGTCTACCACAGGCTTCCTTTTTTGTACTTTTGTTTGAAACGTACCGTTATTTCTGCAATTTTGTAGTAATTTGCGAATTGTAGCCTCTGTGGGTTGCGCCTTGTCAGGGTATCTTTCGGAAAAAAGACGGCAAGTCCTGGCCGCTATTCGATTACATTCACCGTGTATTAATATTAAATTCAAAAAATCTTCATTAGTGTAACCCAAACGAGCCATTATTGACGAGAAGTATAAGTTCAAGCAGCGAAAATTTGACGTTTAAACATTATCATAATAAAAACAAAAGAATAACATCAAGCGACTTAATTTTTTTATCAGTTTGCCACAAGAAATCACTAAAACATGGAATATCTCGGAAACCGTTTGAAGCAGCTTTTGACATTTTGTATCAAATTAAACGTCTGGGAAAAAGGACAACAAAGGGGAAGAACAAAATAGGGGGTGCCATTTGAAAAAATGAAGTTACGGATATTTAAAAGTTTAAAAGTTGAGAGCTTTGAAAAAGTGACGTAGTCTCACTTTTTTAGACTGTTACGGGTACCATAAGAAAATTCAATCTTTCTTTAATAAATCAGTGAAAACTGTATTGCAATATCTCTCACCGTTTTCGAATAATAAATTTTTAAAATTACCCCTGCAAATTCAATTTTTGACATAAAAACTTGAATATCGGCGAAGCCCTTGGAGCAAAGGGTCAACTATGGGGTATCGTTGTACTCCAAATTCGACGTAGAATCCGAAAATGTAGAATGTAGAATAGGGGGTCCCTATTTAAAATAACAAAGTTGATGGCTACTTCCGGTATTTCCGGAAGTGGCGCCATTTTGAAAATATTTTAGTTCAATTCATCATGTGCCAAAACCCTTAAAGAACTTATCAGTTTATCTTCATTTTCAAAGGTTTTCCATATCTTTCTAACTGACGCTCGTCAAGAATGACCCTGTAATAGTTGTGTGATTAGTTTGAAGATATATCAAACGAATATACAGAGTGGCCCAACGAGAAGTATACAGAGGGCTTTTAAGGTATTAAATTTAGAAATTTCGAAAAATCCTCGAACACGTCAATTTTGTATTCGAGGGGGGCAACTTTTCGAATATAAATCACGAACCCAAGTCTTCACCCCTCTACCTTAACCCCTAAAATTTTAAATGGAATCCTATAGCAAATTATTTGAAAGCCAATTTAATCGTGATTACTAATCTGCTTTGCTTTTTAAATTCTATTGATTCGTTGCGGAGATATTCGCATTTGAAATGGTTTTTTCTAAAAAAACCATAACAAATGCGATCTAAGTCACCTTGTATTAAAATTTTTAAATTTTAATACAAGGTTTAAATTGTGCAAAAAATAACAAATAACTTTAAACACACAACCTTTATTTCAATAAATGCTCGAATTGCCTTCCGCCTGCTTCCATGCAATAATAAAGATTTGCTTCAAAACGCTGCCATACATGTTGCAAGATTTCAGGGGTAATCGCTAGAAATTGTTGAGTTATACGTTATACCAAAGGGTAAGGGTGCTCTTTGGTTATACCATAGTGTATTCTATTCTTACACTATGGTTATACGTGCTCGCAACCCTTGTAATGTTCTGGGCGGAGTAGCATAAACTTTATTCTTTAAATATCCCCACAAGAAGTAATCTAAAGGACTTAAATAACCATTTCAAATGCGAATATCTCCGAAACAAATCCATAGAATTTAAAAAGCAAAGCAGATTAGTAATCACGATTAAACTAGCGTTCAAATAATGTGCCATTTGCCATAGGATTCTATTTAAAATTTTAAGGGTTAAGCTCCCTACGTAGAGGGGTGAAGACTTGGGTTCGTGATTTATATTCCAAAAGTTGCCCCCCTCGATTACAAAATTGATGTGTTCGAGGATTTTTCGAAATTTCTAAATTTAATACCCTAAAAGCCCTCTGTATACTTCTCGTATAAGTGTACTTCCAAAGAAAATTCGACTCTCCTTACTAAAACCAAACATTTTCTAAAACTTTTGTGAGGGGGATCTACAACAGTGCGTCGGTGCGTCGTGCGTCATTTGTTAACCTCTACAGTGAACGCTATTCAAGGTTTGATTTGTCAATGTTGCCATCTAATTAATTTTTTTCCAAATATTTTCCCATAAAAAACCTTCACTTTGATAAATCGTAACAACCTTGTTTTTTGTAGTTACGAAATTCCTTTGAGCAATCATTTTATTCCGAATAAAGGAGTACACCTTGATAATGAGATGGTTGGCTTTAGTGATACAGGGTGGTCACAAGGAAATGGTAAACTTTCCAAATTTCAAAGTGCCATAACTATTTTTGGAACCACCACTATTTTATCGCACTAGTGGATAGTCTTTTGTGTTTTGCTCAATCTAAACAGTGTAGTTTTTAGGTTGTTCAATATTTTACACAAAATTTCCTATTCATAAACTAATGCTTATGCATCGGAGTAGGTCGTGATAATAAAAAACAAAAGAAGTAAATAAGCGTCACAAATTTTATTAATTTAGTTTCGACTGGAGTACTTATATTTAACTCTGGTTAATGGGCTTACCGTTGCTTTTAAATTGAACGAGACCAATAAGACCTTGAGTGGCTTGAATTTTTGCCATATAAGCAAAAATTTACGTTGAACTCGCCTACAAGAAAAATTGTAACCCATGGATTGTAAAGATGGGCTATTACTGCATTTAAATTGAGAAAAAACAATAAAAACTGGATGCCCACATACCTCTAATACATTTTCAACGTGTTCAAAAAAGGGAACCACCACTTGTTAATAACAGGGCAGTAATCGGTCTCGGAAGCCGAAACTATTTATACGGTTACTGTAAGAATGTTCCTCAATTCCACTATTTCAAATACGTAAAATATGAATAAAAATCTATTCAAGGCTATGAAAGTACTTCAAATTCCACATAAATTATTCTTTGGGAATTTTACCATAGCCGTTTTATGATAATTGTAACTACAATGGTACAATGCCTAATTTGCAGTCTTTTGATCTATCTCTTAACAGTCAGACGTGAATAAAGTGTTACCCATGTTTTCCGTATCGCGAAAAGTATCCGACAGGTTGTTTTTGAAATTCCGCTTTACTTTAAAGCAAAAGCTTCACTCCAGTGTTCCCGATGTTGTTATTCCAAATATGCACTTGGAGGAGTGCATTTGGAAAAATCTGGAGAAGTGGCACAATAAAACTGCTCTGGTAATTCTATCGAATATACTAATCATAACAATACTGTGACTATTTCAGGTATGTGCCCAAACAAATTGCAGTTACACGTATTTGCAATTGTACAAAAAGAGCAACGCACTCACAAGTTTCTTGTGCAACCTGGATAAACTAAAACAGTCTGATAGAGTTGCCGTAGCACTTCCCAATCTTCCGGAATATGCGATTATTCTACTAGGGGTCATCCAAGCAGGCTGCACTGTAACAACTCTGAATCCTTTATATACATCGGGTACGTATGTCGTACTTTTTTGTAGTCTGTAGACTAAAACAACTTGACGTGTTTGGAATTTCAGAGTCATTTGTGTTACTAGAACTAAGAGATTAGAAGTGGCGTAAACAATCATGCCAAATAGAATTTAACAATTATTGCAATAGTTTAGTCAATACTCGGTACCGTAGACGTAATAATTTCCATACCATGGTCACCATTTTTGAATATTCATTTCTACACAGCCCCTTTTTAAACTGATTTTGATTTGTTCCCTCAACTTTGTTTCAAGCATACAAAATCATCTCCATGCTTTGATGCATTTTACGTGCTTTTCAGTCTGGTATCATAATCATAATTCATAATGTTATGTACTTGATATTGCTATTGTAAGATTCCCATTCATAAAAATGTGTTTACAGACGAAATGAGTCACCAACTAATAGTCGCAGAAGCCAAAGTAATATTTACAACACCTGAAACATATAAAACTGTACAAATTGCATTGCAATTAAGCAAACTTCACATACCAATCATTGTTGTTAGAGCAAAGGTATACTATTCACATAGGGAATGGAGTATAGTGATGTGTCAACAGAACGATTCTACCTTACCACATGGAGCAATCGACTTCGACGAAATTGCTCGAAATCATTGCGACGCGAAGTTTGACTTGCGCAGAAGTCATGATGACACTGTATTAATGTTGTTTTCAAGTGGAACAACAGGTTTGCCCAAGGGAGTTGAGATTACAAACAGAGGTTTGGTATCCAGCCTTCACCAAATGTCGGC